CATTTGGTGCGCTTTCCCTGAAGGCTCAGTGTGCTTCCTTTCTGGACAGGGACAAGCACACGGACTGAGGGAACCTCACGCTCCCTTCTCGTCAACATTTCCTGCCTAAAACTCCACAAACATGCATAAATGATCACGTTTACAGAAGTAAGAACAGAATATTTTTGTGAGTGATTACAAGGGCAGTGAAGTCATCTCAAGTAAAAAATAGTTTTATCATTAAATTCACGTTGGTGCAAGCTTACAAATTTGGCTCAGGAGAGACGTGGTTAGGCAAGGGCCCCTGGATAGGATTATAACGTGTGTCTTATTTGTGCTAGTTGTATTTTATTAGCTATGGCAAAGTGCCACTGGAAAAGTAAAACCGTTTATAATTTTTCTAATTGGCCTACATACCATACATAGAAATAATCATTGATTAAAGATGTTAGTGGAGACAAGGACGATAGTATGAACATTATTTTCAATCTTACTTGTTTTGAAAATTCGTGTTGTGTGCCTGTGTGTGAGTGTACACACTTAAGGACCTACAAAATCCTGAAAGGTTAAACCGATTAGGAAGCTGGAATGTGAAAATAAAGTTCATGGAAACCAAAAATGTGTTTGGTTCCTATATCTCAGAGTCGTTGATGAATTTTATTATTGTCTGTGAGGAAAGAAAAACTTGACCTCTGAGGCTGACAATTGTCCTTTTCCCAAACTTGCTTTCCTTCCTGTCTCTCGCTTCTTCTTTGGTGCCGGAGATATCTGATTGTGTGAAAGGGAGACAAGCTATTGAAAAGAGTTTTATTAGGCCTCTGCGTTACCACTGCCCTGGAAGTTATGCTGTTCATTGAATCCATGTTGCTCTCCAAGCCAGTTCTTTCAGGCGGAACAGACATACATTGTGGCTACTACATGCTTTGCTGTGTTTAACCACATTTAAAAGTTATATGCACAACCCAAGAACAAGGACAATGGTGGGGAGAGGGACTGGGGAGGGGGCTGGGGCCGGGTGGAACGGGTCATGGGGGAGAAAAAGGGACACCTGTAATATTTTGAACAACAACAACAAAAAGTACATACAGGACATAAAAAGATTTTTAAAAAAGTTATTTTGTTTCCAAACACTTTAAAAATAGAGACATGGCCAAAAAAAAAAAACTTAAAAAAATTATTTTGTTGAACCTGCCGTTTGAATTAAATAAAGCCTGGGACAAAAAAACACTGTATTTAGATTCTGTCACTGACTTTATTTCCTTAGGTGAGTAATCTCATTTTTTTGATTTTCAGTTTCCCAATCTGAGAAATGGAGTATATATCTTAGTTTAGTGAATTAAGTGAAATAATAAACATGAAAGCAGTTTTTCAAAAAATAGGAACATTCTTATATAGGTATGAGATAGAATTCTGTTAATTTTCCTTTAGTCTTGAAATAACTGATGACCCTTTTAATATGAGTACTCTTCTCTTATTATATTTTTAACTAAGTCAAAGCGTAATAATCTCTCCACCAAAGATTTTTCTTTGTCCTATGACAATTTGGATTAAATTGTCAATTTAAAATGATTACATGTTAGAAAATATGAAGACAAGAGATATCTCAATACTTTAGAATAATAGGATTTTTAAAAATTCTTGGATATTAGGTGGAACTTCACAAGTGCCCTGAAGGCAAATGCATCTTTTAAACTAATTATCTGTACTGTGTATTCTATTTAATATTAAAATGATACTGATTAAATAAAATCCATCACATTCTGCTCTAGTCACACCTCACATTTGATTAAATACAAATATACAGTTCCTGTATTAATTCTGATTAAAAATATATTACATTTAGAATTATACACTCATGATAATTTTTAAAAAGCTAAAACATTTACTCTGCTCATCCTTGATATCTGAAAATTATATACAGAAGAATAAAAATGAAGGCATATTATATCTGAATTTGTTTTCTAACAAGCTGCTTCTTTTTATTTACATGGATATCATGGTTTTCTTACTGTAACTCAGGGATAAGATAGTGGTGGGCATATTAATTTACTCTGCACTCATTGCCTACACATCTTAATTGTAAGTGAGCTCAAATATAATTTCATCACCTTGTTCTTGGAGCAAACTTCTAGTGTTGCTATCAGACGTCAGAGTATTGCTAGAGAAAATTCTCAAAGCTAGTGGCTTTCTCTTACATATTTATGACTTCTAGCCCAGCTGAGCCCTCAGTTTTGCTTGATCCTGTCACTCATCCTTAGTCAACTGCTTTTGCTTCTCAGAGAAGTAGTGACAGAATCTTTACTATTTTCTTACTCTCTTCATCTCACTCCCTCTCTGCCAATCTCATTCACTCTCGGTAGATAACCAGGATTCCCACTGCTCTGAGAAAGAAGAAGCTGCCCAAGTGAATATCTGGAAATTATCAGTTCTCTACACAAGTGTTAGCAATGTGGCAGCTAGGGTCCAATTTCATCCCATAGTGTATATGAAGGAGGGGCTTTAAAATGAGATTTTTATTATCCAACATGGCATGGTCTTTACCTTTTGCGGCATTGGGCCACATGAGTCCAGTAAATCCCCAACCTTGCTATTATTTTGCATATATACATATATATACATACATAAAATCATTCTTTATATATATGACTGTATGTATGCCTGTATATACATATTTACAATATACACATAATATGTATTTTATTAAGTTGAATCTTTTGATAGGTAAATTTCAGATAGTACAATGCTAAATCTCTAAATATTTCAGCAGGCATGTTCTAAGATTAAGGGAAAATTTCTTTACAACTCTTCTATCACACTTAAGAATATTAACAATAATTCTATCATTTCAGTCATTAGACTGTTTATATTCAAATGCCCACAATTATCTTTCAAATGTCTTTTGTAGCTTTTTGGGGTGGTGATGGTGATAGAGGTGGGGGGGCAGGGTCTATTTTAAATTCTTGTGTTGCACTTGGCTGTTATTCTGAACTTTTTGACAACAATAATCTTTTCACATGGCTTTTCACTGCCTTGTACTGTGCAGAAATATGTATAGTTAATATAAACACTTCCCAAAGTAGAATGAATTTGTGATTTATGCCCTGGAGGTCACTTAATGCGCATCTTAGTTTGGTTGCTTAAGAGTCTCCAGGACTCTCCTGGTAAATGTGACTGGGTAGGTAAGGAATCATAGGATAAGGCACTTAATCTGGATTTGAGGGACAATAAACACTTAAATATTATAATAGATACTAAAGTACGCGTTCATGTCTTACAAGTGTTTATTCAGATCTAAGCTTCCACCAAAAGCTGAGAAAGGATAGTAGGCTGACAAGAAGCTTCGAAGAGGCCCAAATTGAAATGAGCACAGATATTTTCCCCACCACCCATTGCCCGAAGTGTATGTAGATAGACTTGGACTCAAGGAGTCAAGAATGTTCCTGAAATCAGAAAGCTTTTCATGAAAGTTCTTCCAAAGCTTTTTGTCAACCCATCTGAAAAGCAACAGCAATTCCTTCCACAGGGTTATCTTGTTAATGGGATAGTTAAACCAAGTTTATCCTCCCAGACTTCTTTTGAGTAAAAATCTGTAGCTGCCAGTATTCTTTACTTATAGAAATATCTTCTAAGCAAAGTTGTATTCCTGGGCACCTTAATTTTCTTTAGTACAGTCCTAGACCCCTTCTGCTTCTGTTTCACTTTTGGGTGCATTGGATCCTCGAATCCATCTCGATGTGGAGCAGCTGTGAAGCCTTGGGGGGGACTCATTTTCCTCCAAAATAGCTCTTTATTGTTTTGGTTCTTGCTGCCTCTCTGAAGTTCTACCTGGTAAGAAGGTCAGGATGTCAACAAATACCTGTGTTCTCAGATTTTTCAGACCCACCTTGGGGATCCACCGAGAGTCCTGCTCACATAACTTGGTCCTGGGGAGGAAACTGGGATATACCCCCCATTCCCTCATTTTTAGGGACACACAAATATCTAAGAATTCCTGTCTTCTTATCCAACTTTCCTACCCCCCTCCCACACACACTGTGGGAAACCTTTATCTAGTATTGTGACTGTCAAAAATTCTTACAAATTTGTTCTAAGTCTCACAGGACACAGGCTTTTGGAATTCAGCAGCCTTCCCCTGTTTCTTGCCCAAAGCAAACCTTTCCAATGTGACTCAGAAAAGGAGAGGCTGTGGGTCATTGAAGATACACTCTCATGAAAACTAGCTTCAGTGTATTTAATGTCATTTTTAAAAGATTACTATCAAGTAAAATCTTGCTCTTATGTAATTATATTTTTGTTTTTTACTGATATTAATGCATTGTTTCTTGATTCCAGAGAATCACAAAATCAAAACAACACCATAAACTATATCTACATCAAAAAGACACTGATTTTAGGAAGGAATGAGAGTTGGAGTGGAAAATGGAAAAATGGTCTGGGTAAATAGGCAACTTCAAAGATTAGTAGAGATTGTTTGTGAGAGATAATGGAACTTGGAAATGCGTTCTTATTCCAAAATACAAATGTGATACATCAGTGTTGTTGGTGAATCTGGCCAAAGATGTTGATCAGTCTGCTTTGGGTCATGAGATTGTTTTTTGTTTTGTTTTTAATATATCTTTATTGATTTCAGAGAGAGGAAAGGAGAGGGAGAGAGAGAGATAGAAACATCAATGATGAGAGAGTCATTGATAGCTGGCTGCCTAGCCCACAACCCGGGCATGTGCCCTGACCGGGAATCAAACCCCTGTCACCTGGATCCTAGGTCGACGCTCAATCGCTGAGCCACGCCCGGCCGGGCGAGATTGTAGTTTGGATAAGAGATTCTACAACCTAACAGACTCTGCATTAGAGCATTCCTTATTTTGTGGAAATAAATTTATTTAATAAATGAATGTAAGCAGAAATGTCATGACAAGAAAATGCATTTTATGTTTATTCCTGTGATATAAGAACCTTCGTCGATATTTGTTTTTCAGTTTGAGTTTTTCTCGGCTTTAACCTGAATTTCTCTTTTTCAACAGACTCTGCCCACTTCGGGAGTTTCAGGCCCTGAGGTGCGTAAGCATAAAGGTTTCACACTTGCAATCACAGGTCATTATACATCTGTGTTGTTATGAAGAACATTTGGCTTGTCTCAGTGACCTATTAAATATTAATTCATATATTTTATTTCTTCTCATATCCTCAGGGATCTTTAGGTTTTCATGATGGGATAGAGTTGAAGCAATCCCAATCTTCATTTGTGATAAACATTAGAAAAACAGGAAGTTATGTGAAACAAAGCATACAGAGCAAAATAAAGGTCACTTTGCAAAGGTTTAACCGGCATATAAGAATAGCATGATTCCTATTTGTCAAGTTAAAATATAACTACCTTACAGAAAACCTAAAGCAGGTCCTCTGACCCGTTAAAATACAGCTTTCAGTGATAGTATGTTGAGAAGCTCTTGCTCCTTTTGACGTGTCCCTGCTTTTAAAAACAGCACATCTGCATTAATTATTTATCATATGACATCATATAGGAAGTCATGCTAATAAAATACAGTCACAGAGTAAATGACTGGTTTTGAAAATAAATGTAGGCATTGCCACATTTCTTTTCAGTGAAGTGTGAGCTCTACCTCTGCATTAATGAAGCAAAGGCTCCACTTCGTTCTGTGACAAAATCCTATTCAACTGTTACTGTCTCTAAAAGATACGCTCAAACGGTATTGTTTCCTTACAATTATAATTTCAATCTACTTCTTAGGAAAACATTAATAACCTGTGAGTATACCGTATAAGAGTATGACTTTATTTAGAGGATAATGTAATTACACAAATGATGTAATAACCTATATACTCCCCCTTAAAAAGTTTTCTAATCAGTGTAGATGTCCTCATTGAAACTTTTAAAAATTTCCCTTTTTAACTACAGATAGTACTTAAAAATACTTGGAAATATGCTTGAACTATATTGTTTCTGGTCTATGAGAAATATTAAACTGTTTTGTATTGTTTTAGTTAGTTGATACCATTATGACAATCATTATAAAACAGAGATGCTAAACTCTGTTTAGCAAATGCAAAGGTATTAGGAAAGTTTAGCATTCAATCTAATTATTTAAGAGTAAAAGAATTAATTGTATATGGGCAGGTCCTTTGTTTTTGCCCCTATCATAGCCCATCAAGGGAATATAGACACTGTATTTAAAATTTAAAGTTTGTTTTTAGATTTGTTAATCTCCAAAGGTCTCTCATATTCAACCATATGATTTATATCATATAGATTGAATAAATGCACCAAAATTGCTGTTTTCATAATAGGCTTTTTTCATTTGTTAAAATTTTTTTTTCTGCTATAAGTTAAAAAAAAATCTTCACACTCTACTTTCTTTTTCTTGCAACATATATTGGTTTATTTTAACTTAAATTTTTCACCATCCTCTGAAATATAGGTTTTCAACTATATTGTTCCAGAATTTTTCTCAAGCCCTTATATAGATATATAAATGAGTGTGTCAATACAAACTCACACAAGCATACAGAGAGAGATTGAGAGAGAGAGAAGCCCTAATGTTGCACCATCAGGAACAATTGCTTGTTGATTAACTGAAAATGGGGTTAAAGTGTATGTGAGGAAATGTACAGAAAGATATATAAATACCTTAAACATTTTACTTATAATATGTAAATGTATATTCATTGGCTACACTTTTGACAAGATAAAGGGCTTTTCTATGAGCACATATTTACTATGTGCTCATTTGGAAATGGCATATAGTTTTTCTTGCATTTATCATGGTCTTCTCACCCATAAATTTTAATTATCAATCATTTTAAAGTAAAACAAAAGCATTTCTATTTAGTATAAAGATATTTGTATATTAATGAAAGCAATTGTTTTCAATTTCTTTCACTTGTTTTAAAGTATAACAAAAACTCAAGGATATCTGTGGAGCAATTTGTATTAAAAAAAAAAACACCTTAATTTTTATTACTAATTCTCCATGCTTTTACAGACATTGTTTCCAAACCCAACTTGACCAATCCTCCTACACACACACACACATGCACACACACCTCGTTAGTCTTTTCAAAGCATACAAGATATTTTTCATGGAAACAACTCATTTTATACACATAATTCAATGGCTTGAGTAATAATTAAGTTACACAGTTACTATAACAAGATAAATTCTACTCGGAACTGACATAAACAAATTGCTTAGTGCACAGAAATTACTATGTTGATCATTCAGCTCCACTGATAGAAGGACATGATGAATATGCACATAAAAGAGAACTGCCTCCTTGCTTTTTACCTTCGGCTTACTGTATAGCTTACAGAGGGAATGGAGTGTGAGTGAATATGAGGTGCATACACACATATAATTTTATCATGGCACTACCATTTGCCAGTAAGCAGCCCAAATTATATGATTTTGGCATGGGCCTTCACAGCTCCCACTTTTTATGTTTTTAAAAAAAAATTGATTCCAGAAAGAGAAACGGAGAGGGAGAGAGAGAGAGAAACATCAATGATAATTGAGTCATTGATTGGCTACCTCCTGCACGCCCCCTACTGGGGATCAAGGCTGCAACCTGGATATGTGCCCTGACCGGCAATTAAACCCTGACCTCCTGGTTCATAGGCAGATGCTCAACCACTGAGCCACGCCAACTGGGCAACGCAGCACTCATTTTTAACTACTGTGATCTAAGTTAAGCAGCACACCTGTTTTAAACTTAATCATAAAATATAACAATATTTTTTATATTTTAAAAATGATTGACATGCACTGACTGCCAATTTTGTGCCAGTATTTCACATTTTCTCGATTTATCATCATATGTACCTTTACATTTTATAGATGAGTTCAGTGGTGAGTTAGAGAGAATAAATAACTTGCCCAAGGAATTTAGAACCTTTGCCATTTTTGAAATGAATTAGTTTCTCTGGGCAGAGAAATGTTTAAATCCCATAGTAAAGTCACAATAATCAAAGTTACAGCTTTTCAGCTGCCAATACATTAGTCTCTCAGATCTCAAAACCCTTATAAGTCCCAATGATATGGTGACACTTCTGCTTCAGGGAGATATTTGTATATTAATACAAATTTGTATATCCTGGTGTTACCTTGGGTTAAAATTCTCGAGTTTGTGGGAAATTCTTGTGGCCTAGCTCTAATGGCCGGAAGGGATAAGTCTCCATTCAGGCAGGTGGAGCAACAGCCGAGAAAGCAAGATGCAGGATTCCTTTGAAGGATGCTGTTGGCAGCCGAACATCCGCCTCCCCTTCTCTGTGGCTTCGTACCTCCCTCTCATGCTGAGATTGGACAAAAAGAAGAAAACCCCGTGCTTGAGGTGATCATCATTTGCTGCTTGCAGTTTGTGAATGATCGATCACAGCAGGCTGAGGACTGTGGTAAACATCCCCTTTGTGAAAGCAGTTTTCAGCCACACACAAATACGAAACACATCTGAGAATCAGCATGATACAGAAAAAGATTTTTTTTTAGAGCACATATTTAAAGTGAGGTCTTTTTATTTCATTTATTTCATCACTCTGTTTTCTGTGAATGGTCTTCACAGCTTTTCTTCTGCATTCATCATGGTGATTATTCTTTGGAATTCTAACAATGTATTCCCCTTTCTGTACAATATGTTCCCCAGTAAAGATCTGTCATGCTCCTTGTAGAGTCTAAGGATCACAAAACATTGAATTCTGTATTTGAAATGTCTGCGTAGCCAACACAAGTGGTTGATATTTGAAAGTGCTGAAATATCAATAACTCTGTTTTATATTTTGCAGTTATATGTTCTATATTCTTTTATGGTTTTTTGGGTTAGATTAGCTGTTTTCAGTGTTTAAATAATTTCTATCGATTACAGCAATAATTTTTCAACTCTTTCTATCTGGGATAATTTATCTGGCACAACAAAATTTGTCTTAATTATAACAAATTTATTTTGTTAGTTAGAGCCCCCCAAATGAAAAGAAAGCACTGAAGGTGAAGTAATAAGCACTACCCCCTATTATCAGAGAGCTATTTTATTTTGAATAGTGATACACAATAATGCTGGTGAGCTCTTTCTGGAACTTTTCAATAACGACAACACTGGGGGAGGAGCTCAAACATCACAATAGAGCTCTGACAGTCAGGGTTAATTAACCCTCAGAACAGAGGAATGAAATTTTTGTGGACAGCAGATTTTCAAAGATGCCTTTGTTTCCCCCTTTCTGCCTCTCAGATAAAATAGCAAAGAGGTAAATATTTTTTCAGTGGAAATAGGAAAAGTATCCAACTACCTTCCTGTTAGCTTATGTTGTCTAACTAAAATACAGCAAATGTCTCAGAGAAACTTCTATAAAATTTGAAAATAAACATAAAACAAGTGAGTATAATAAAAGGAAGGCCCTGGGAAAAATTAACTGGATATGAGCCTCCCCCTTTGTAAAATTTTCAGCTTGATTAATTCCACAAATTCCACGCAGTAAGCATATTTTCCTCTGACAAAGAAACCACTTGGTTTGCTGATTGTGTGTATGTAAACAAATGTTTACCCCTTTAGTATTGTCTAGATTTTATAATGAAATTCTTATATAGATGATACACTGAGGATTTTTAAACTTGTTTTATGCCTCTTTCTTATAACTGTAGATTTCATAAATAAAATTTTATCAATTGCAAATTTAATTTAGAGTTTTAAAATTTGTTCATACATGTGGGGCAAAAGTAGGCTTACAGTTGTGATTATGCGAAACAGTTTATTCTTGTATTATTTATTAATTATTGCATTATTTTTCATATAAACAACTGTAAAACCTGAGTTTGTTCTGCCCTGTATTTTAAAATTGTTACTACAAAGCATTTGTTTAGTCTAAACCATGGTTTACTCAGAGGGACGATGCCCTGGAGAGACAGCAAGCCACTTTATCAACTGCTATGTGCTAGTTGGAGATTCTCACCATGAAGAAATTTCCCTCTATGCATAGCCAAGAACAAAATAATGTTAATAGATGGAATGGTACCTCTTTGCAGACATATACTTACATGTCTTAACTTTCCACACACACACACTCACACACACATACACACTTGGAAATATAACAAACACTTTGCATAATGGTAATTTTAATGAACACCCCAAAGACAGAACCACACTGATTTTCCATTATTCATAATATAGGCACAATGTTAGGACTTTATATATGTTCTACTAAACCTTACACACTCTGAGAAATGGGTATTAATTACTACCTTCATTGTGAAGAAGTAGTTCTCTAAGGTTACATAATATTGAAGTAGCAGAGATGGGATTTATCTCAGGCTTTTTTAGTCCAAACCTCATCCTATAATTCACTATTTCTATGCATTATATTCTTACCTATTTATGGACAATATGGTAACTTATAATCTTATAAAGCATGATTGATTTTTTATAATGTCAATATTTTTGCCAGCAATTATGCTTATATGTAAAACATAATTTTCCAAAGAATTCAAATTTCAGGCATCCTATTGTACCATACATTTTCAGTCACACAAAAAAATATATGTAGTGTCCTTGCACCATGAAATTGCAAAGTAAATGGTTTATCCTGATTAGCATTTAAGTTTTCTGATTCATCTGTCCCTGATATATTTTTAAAGAGTTTTACCTTTAAGTCCACTTAAAAACATTTTCCTAAATTACTGAATTGAAAAAGAACTCTAAAAAACAAATACAGAAGCTAGGAAACATATATCTGAATAAGTGATAGGAAAGTGGCAGTTAAGCATTTACACACACTTGAAAAATCTTGCTAATTAATCAAGACAATTTTTTATACCAAGACTAGACAAGGCCCTAGGATCTTTCTCAATATAAATTTATTTTTTTTTATAATGTTAAAATTTGTGTATTTTTCCATTTATCCTGACTTTTGTCAGGGACTGATCTAGGCTCTGAGGTAGAACAGAGAAGCATACAAAGTCCTTTCTGTTATGAAGCTTTGATTAAACTAGAGGAAGTCCAGCATTAAATAAATTAAATAGATAACATTTCAGGCTGTATTAAATTACACACAAAAGAGGGCTAAAGGTAATAGAGAAGCTTGCTTAACATTTGACCAGAAACCTGAAGTTAGGACTAAGCCCAATAAATAAACAAATAAGAACTTTCTAGTAGAGGGCAGAGTTACTGTGAGAACCCTGGATTAAGAGCATGATGTGATTGAGGCACAATGAGGAAGGTGGTGTAGCTGGAGTGGAATGAAAACGATGAGTGTGGTTGTTGTATAGAAAACTGACTGTACAGAGACAAAGTTGGAATCAAATTGATCCATTTGGTGATTGTTACAATATTCAGACAAAGAGCATAGTGGTGGCTTAAGTCATATAATGATGAAGGTGCTGAGTTATTGTCTAGTTTGGGATTTATTTTCAAGGATACTAAGCAGAAAATTAAAAAAAAAATTCTGGATGTTTTGGGATTTATATGCATTTTAGACACTCATGTGGACAGATAGAAAGAGCATTTGTATATAGGAGTTAAGGTTCAAGGGAGAAATCTGAACAGGAAATATAAATTCAGAAATCTTCACCATAAAATTGAAATCAAAAACCTTGGATAAATGAAGTTTCCTAGGGAGTGAGTGTAGATGGTGAAGATGGGAGGTCCAAGGCGAGGTTAGGCGTTAAGGACTGTAAAGCTGAAGGAGGAACCAACAAAAAAAGCATGCAGTTGGTGAAGGAAGACAAGAGCTAAGAAGGAGATGTCTGGGGAGCCCAGCGAAGCAAGCTTTCAAGGGGGAAGAAGGCATTCGTTCTGTTCTTTGCTCCTTAAAAGTTAAGATGAAGACTGACCAGCAGGTGTGGTAATGAGAAGGTCACTAGTGATTTTAATGTAAGCTGATTTGTGGATTAATGCTGATAACATTTATTGGGTTGAGTTGAAGAGAGGGTGAGAGGAGAGGAAATAAAAACAGGGAGCAGATAATGCCAACAAAGTTTTTATTATGGTGAACAAAGGGATTTGTTGTGTGAAATGTGACTTTTAAGGTGTATGCCATTCTTGATAGTAGCTACAGAGTAGTTTAAAAGTCCATTATGTGTTCATTTTCAATATCGCCTATATTTATAAGCATTTTTAGAGCTTAGTACTAAATATTTAATTTATAATCCTATATATTTATCTTTACCATTGTTTATGAAAAAATTAGTTTTAGTGGTTTTGAATAACTATTGATAGAGTCATAATGGGGCTCATAGAGATAATACAATTTGGTTTTCTTTCACATCCTTTCTTTAACTCATATTTTGATCATGTATCTCTTATATTTATGTTGAGCCATTTGAAAGCAACAGCTTTTATATTAGACGTTAGGAATTTGGGCCCAAATCTGTAGCCATGAAACCCTTCTATATGTTGCCCCTTTTAGTAAAATGATTTAACAGTTTTATAAAAGAGTTTGTTTCTTACAGGAAAGACAAGCAACAGTAAAAAAAGAAAAGAGTGGTTCCCAGCAGCCAAACAAAGTGTCTGACAAGAACAAAATGCAAAGAGCCAACTCAGTTACTGTGGATGGGCAAGGCCTGCAGGTATGAATTTTTAAAAAAATATAAATTTTAGTAGCTTTCACATTTGTTACGGCTGTGCTTTTAGAGGGGCATATGTCAAGGTATCAACACACTTATTTAGCTCAGTAGATGACTTCGGAAAAATCTTTATTTATCAAGACATCAGTTTTATTGTTGATTGACAGAATGACATTCTGGTTAATCATTAGTGAGGTTATGTCCATTTAAATTCAAATTGGTAAGAGAGCTGTCTTAAGTTTTTGAAAATTATTAATACTAAATACAAATTATATATGTGTGTATTATTTTTTTCACAAGTGTACATTCTCCATATCATTGTATATATTCTTAAGAGTCATATTGGTGGCAAAACATGTCTTTAGAAAGAATAAAATGAACTCCAATTGTGTGGATACTATTGTTCATAAATAATTATTAAAAATAATGAACCTATTAGAATTTATATCTTCCAAAGTTTTAAGTCAGAATTGACACCACATATATTTTTCTGGTTTAAGTAAAAATAGGTAGCTCAAAATCATGATTTTAGTACTTTAAAACCCTCTTAGTTACCCCTTGGGCCTCTGACATCAGGAATAAGACTTTCCGTCTGTACTTTGGAATATCCTATAGTTGGATTGAGTGCATTTTATTTTGCTTCTGTTTCTCATTCCAATATAAAAACAATCAATGAAGGCTTACTCTATGAAATTGTAAAGTTCATTTTTTTCTGTTTTCCTATCTATATTTTTCTGTCTACTGATTTCCAATTTCTGTCCTTAAGAGTTTGCTTCAAGATTCATGTTTTCCAGGAAAACTTACCAACCATTTACCACAAAAAGATACATTGTGTCACACCCTTGCATTCGATACACGTGATCTTATATCTTGTTTCATCTATTATTTTGTCTAATACTGTGGGATATATCTTTGATAGTCCATAATTTGATAGCACAGTTAAGAGCACACATTATTTGCCTGTTAGAGATTTCATTATTTTGAATATCTCATTAAAAATTTAATAATAATTTCCTAAATATTGATAGCCAGGTTACTGCTTTGTTTTGATCTAATAAAACATTGTAAAGAGAAAATCTATTATGAATTACTGAACTTAACTAAATTTGTCCCATGGCTCCTTACATTACCTTCAGATTTTCGGATTCCTTCTTTCTTTCTGCTGTTCTGATTGGATGCCTTTTGCTACCTTACAGTCCAAATTGTTCTTTTGATTCTCAGCTTCATCTACTGTAGTGTTGATTCCCTGTAAATTATTCATTTCAGTTGGTATATTCTTCATTTCTGTTTTTTTTTTTAATGCTGTTTCCATAAAAAGGAACCAGTCCTTTTTATGCTGTTGAAGTTATAAGTTCATCTACTCTTAGGGTTTTGAACTCTGCATATGATAAATATCATCATTATTTACTACTTTCAAAATGAGCATATTGGTGTTCAGAAGTCAAATTCTTTTCAGGGCCTTACAGTTAATCATCGGTAAAGCTAAGGTTTAAGTGAGGATCATCTGATTCAGAGTTTATTATGTGTTTTACCTCTAAGGTACCCCATCTCCCTGGCTAAGAAATTTTAACAAGTATATAAATGCTAAATTCCTGACCACTTTTTTCTTTCATTTACTTTTATGTTGTTGTAGATTTAAACATCATGTGTGTGCTAGAATTATAACTTTTTACCTCTCAGTTTCCAAACATTTGAATAATCAGACCATACATTACCCAGAATTTAAACCAAAATTAAATGTGTGTGCAGAGTGTTTTAAGAGCTTTACACTGACATATCAATATAAGTTGCATTTTCTTTTTTATTCAAAAATAATTGGAAATATTCAACCTTATTCCAATGAAATAAGTCAAATTAAAAACAGATGATTAACATTTTATATGGATAACTTTCATCCCTCTAGCCCAGGGTGGGAGACCTTTCTGCCAAGGGCCATTTGGATATTTATAACATCATTCATGGGCTATACAAAATTATCAACTTAAAAATTAGCTATGACAAAAGCTCCTGGATTTATTGAATTTCAAGTCCCGCCTGTGGTTGCCTTGGCAGGGCCAGACCAAATGATATGGCCCGCGGGCCAGACGTTCCCCACACTTGCTCTAGCCAGACAATAAGTTTTCATGCTTTTCTGTGCCATATAAAACTGTCAGGGAAAGTTGTCAGTAAGGCTAGTATAGACATAAGCCATTACAAAACAGTGGTAAATAAATATTGCTGATGTAATCATCATTGTAACTTTTCGACTTTTAAAAAATTTGTATATGGTCAGGTAAAATAGCCTGTTTCACCTCAGTAGAATGGAGTAAAATGTGATACAGGTAGGTATTCACAGAACTTTGGAGAAAACATCTAAAACGTAAAATACTAAATTCTTGGATAGCTATTTCATGCCAAATGGAAAAATAACTAATTTTTTGTGTGGTAGTCAATTTAAAAATAATTAATAGTTGTTTATTTATCAGAAAAGGTAAAAAGGTCTACCAAAAAGTTAATTTTTGTGAGTTTTAAAAAATATGTATCATAAAAAAGTATTGAGTTGCTTTCTAGTTTGCATATAACTCAGTGACAGAAGAGATCTACACTGCTTAAAGAAGACTATTAATCATAGTTACGCACATTCATCTTACTTCTTTCCAGCTAACCAGCATAATGATCAGGATTATTATTTCTAATTAGAGGAAGTAATAGATCATGTATAACCTTAGGATGAGTCTCATTAATTAACCCGAGTCCTAGGGGACTTCAAATAGAGGTGGTTAGGCACTCTGTCTTTGTCATTGCTCACACCATAGGTTTACACTTAGTACATATGATCAAGTGTAATGGAAACTACAATTTCTTAGCATGCAGGAGATGTAAACATACAGATGACTCTCTACATGTGAACAAATAAGTAGAAAAACAGAATAGTTACTTAAAATATATCAAACTAAAGTTACCTTGTCCCTAACTATTATTTGAGAAAATTTTTCAAATAAAAGGATCACTTGATGACCCAGAAGTCTAGTTTGTCGTATAATTAACACAAGACAAAGAGGGGACCTTCACGCTGAAGTACCTAAAAGTAACCCAGTGCTGACCGCACCACCACTGCTTCTCCCTCTCCCTGCTCTTTCTTATTTACAGTATCTCATTTGTATAATCACCGAGACTAAACCGTGCATCACATATGTGCTGTACACAATCATATAGTGTATGTGTAAAAATTAACTCCGTTTCTTTGGGGTGTGTGTGTGTGTCCATCCATCATCCTTTACCCAGTTTGGGCTCCTGAATCCTGCTGATTCTTTCATAATCGGTTCTCCTCTGTCATCTGAACTCTCTCTCTATGTCCAGAATTATCACTCTATACTTTGAGTATCACAACAACCTTTAAAGTGAGTCTCTGTCTCCATACATATAATGCACTAGTTTATAAGTGTTACTGGAAAGCGGGGATGAAGAAGATGTGTGAGGACAGAGAGCTGGCGCTGTCTGTAATTTTCTGGGGGATGGCCAGTTAGACGGGAGGAGTCAGGGACACCTCAAAGGTGATTGACCCGTGCAGCTGAAAAGATGGAGAAGGATCTGGGTGAATAAAGGTTTGCAGAGAAATGTCTGGTGCTGTGAGATATCTAAATGCCGAGATGCCGAGTAGGCAAACAGATATATGAATGTATAATTTAGTACAGAGGACAGCTAGCATTTGGAAGCGAAAGGTATTTTGATGCAATTTAAAGCCACCATTTAAAATGAGCTCACTGAGGGAAAGAACAGAGAGAGAGGAGTGGTTGAACTGGGATTCCAAGTCGGTCTGTTGCTAAGGTCATGTTCTTTAATACCTACTGTATGAAATTGGCCCTTTATGTGAGCGACTAAGATTTTGTCCCATTAACTCTATTCTCTGTAGAGAGTGATCTAGTACGAACTGGCTCCTGAAATGCCCTTCACACCTAATTTATAATTATTCTTCAAGATTTTAAGTACCACACATACTATCAAATCTTCCTTGAACACTTTCTCCCATTATTAATTATTATTATTAAAATTTATCTTTATTGTTTAAAGTATTACCGATGTCCCCTTTTCCCCCCGTTGCTCCCCTCGACCCCACATCCACCCCACCCCCAGGCCTTCCCCACACCAGTGTCTGTGTCCGTGGGTTATGCTTATAAACATGTAAGTTCCTTGGTCAATCTCCCCCACCCCCTCTCCCACCCGACCTTCCCTCTGAGACCCCTCAGTCCGTCCCACGCTCCTGTGTCTCTGGGCCTATTTTGTTCATCAGTTTAGATTACACTGTGTTACCTTATCCTAATGTTTTTGAGAAGCCCAGGGTCCTATAGCGATGCTGCAGGTCCAGAGGGTAGTGATGGGAGGCTGAGAACAGGTTCAGGGTATTTTCCTACACTTAAAACAAAGCAATTTGCCCTTCATATGTTTTATGTATGGCCCCACTTAAAATTATTTCAAATGCTGTATAAATACTTCCTTCCAAGACCAAATAGTGTTAGGCTAACCGAATTTTTTTATTTATTCGTGTTGTTCCCTCTTTTTCTCATCCTGCTAAAATCTTTAACAAAATGAATATGATATTTGAGGGTGGCAATAAGTCAGTTTTCAGAATAGCTGAGTTGTGCATCTTATTTCAGAATTATTTAGCAAAAATAGAATAAGAAGAATAAAACTCATGGACACAGACAACAGGGTGGTGATTGCCGGGGTGGGGGAGGGATGGACAGTGGTGAAGGGGGTTCTAGGGGGATAAATGGTGATGGACACACTTGGCTTGGGGTGTTGAACCCGCACTACAGAGTACAGATGGTGTGCTGTAGAATTGTGCACCCGAAGCCTGTGTGATATTGTCAACCAGTAAATTCAATAAAAAGGAAAATAACACATTTAAAAAATAATTTTTGAGAGGCAAAAAGAATTATTGTTGAACATAAAAATTCAAAATTTTCCATGTTAAAGATTATATTCGATGTGGTTAGTACAAAAGAGAATAATTGATACCTTAGTGTTACCTAGTGCTGGTTCTATTCGTTTCACCAGTTGACTCAATAATGGATTTTATAAGAAAGGGAGTTAGTCTAGAATCATGCTATTGTCCTGATTTTGAAGTTGTGTCATATTTATGGAAGAAAATGTTTTTGTGTGTTGGCAATCCTAAAGTAAACAAAAGTGATGAAACATCATTTTGGCAACTTACTCTGAAATTTTTCAGGAAAAATAAAGTTTCTACAGTGTTTGCAACTATTCTGTAAATTTCAAATTGTCTCGAAATATAAAAATTAAAATATCAGTGTAAAACAAAGAGATTATTATGAGATATTTCCATAAAACTTTATTCATGGAAATCAGATATACTGAGTTTCAGAAACTAATAAAGCTATATTTCTTTAATCTACTTATGTTCTTTTAAGTATATATGATCTGAGTCACAATACAAATTAGCTCCCTTAGAAGGAATTCTGAATTCTAGACATTAGTTCTTACCTGATTTAGACAGCTCTAGAAAACAGGATCTGGAAGCAAATATATTGAATATATTAATTGAAATATCACATCTAATAATAACTACATTTTTTCTTATCTAAGACTATTAAGTTACAAAAGGATTAACTGAAAAATGCCCATTTAATAATGAGAATAATAATATAAGATAAAATGAAATACAGAGGCTTATCATAGACTTCATACCAAGTTTCTGTTCTTCACTCAGGGACAGGAAATGTTTACGAGTTTGACGGAAGAGAGTTTCCGTGCCTGGTTCCATCTGTATCCAAGTCTTTTTCCCTATGGATCTTTTTTTTCCACATCAGTTACACTTAGGTTCTGCAGAATTTAACAGGGGGAAAAGAGCAAAAAGAATGAACTCATTGCTCCACAGACTGTTCCTTTTGTTTTCATCTCATAGCCGTTCACACGTATTCCCTTCTCAGAGCTACCTTTCCCTTGGGCCTGTCCCCAGCTAGCTCCTTCCTCTCTTTGCGAAGTGAGCATTCCTGTTTTTATATATGTATCTAAAGCACCGTGTTTAACGGAGTGACTTAAATAGATCCATGAATCTGGGTATCTGCATGTAAGAATGAAAGAGCCATACTCTTGAATTTGCTAATTGGTATTTCATGACGTAGAAATAACAAGTGGTCTTCACACATGAGAGTGATTTGTCTGCATACCTGATTTTTCTTCTAGATCACTCCTGTTCCTGGCACTCATCCACTTTTAGTTTTTGTAAATCCCAAAAGTGGTGGGAAGCAAGGAGAACGGTATGTGCTTTTTTTTTTCAAGTCATGTTTATTTTCTATGCCATATCTCTGTAAAAAGATGAACTAAAATCGTGGTATAAAAATCTTGAAAACATTATTTCTCATGGTTTACTAATTTTAATGTGAAATAGTAATGCTAGCATCTATCTGTAATATATTGATACAGCCTCTCCTTATTTTTACAGTGGAATTTTTAATATAATAATGACCTTTTATAGACATTATCATAGCTCAGGTCTCTGAATTCTCTCTACCCTACCTATCCCCGCTAGCCGTCTCAAAGACCTTTGCATAGAACATGGCTCCATAAATATTGTTGAATGAAAACTGGTTCTCTAAATGGTCAACCATGTGACTTCAGTAAATCATTACCCAGTACTGAGGAACAGAATTTATATCCAGCTTCTAGACAAAATATATTATAAAGATTTTCTGCACGTGCATTGTTTCCCAAAGAAAATGATGCAGTGTTTCCCAAAGAAACACAATACATTTAATCGGAGTAGTAATGAGCTGCACCATCAGGTACTTCCCTATTCTGGCCTATGACACAACATTTTTATGTTTGGAATGAGTTAGTGATTAAATCATAATGTTTAATAAAGATCTGAAAATCACCACATTGGGGAATAAATCTTATATCCTTCTAAAGAGGATAGTCATAAAAAAAATGTGGTTGTACCTGCCTTAATAATTTCTAGAGTTTTTTATTTATCTCAACCAAAAAAGTGAGCAATCCCATAAAAGCACTAACACAGACATCATGATAATAAAATTGAAATTACCTTTGGGGTTCACCAAATAATGAAGTTGAAAAGTTGCCATGAATTAAAATCTTGTAACATGATTTCTTTCCTACCATTTAACGTCCAGCTGTATTTCAATGAAATGTAGAATGTTCATTTTTCAATCAACAAAATATTATTTCTGCCTAAAAGCTTTTCCCTTTTCTCAATATACGGATACATTGCAAGGCCACATGATAAATTCTAAACTGAAAGTGTTTCTAATAAAGATGCGAGGAAAATTCAGAGGTGAGATGACTATTCTTAAGACTGACAAGTCTTTGGAGCAGAACTAGCCTTTGAGTCGGTTCTGATAAAAGTAAATGTTTTCCAGGTGGAAGAAGAAAGACTGTGAAAGGGCGTGGGGTTTTTCAGGGAACCAGGAGATATTCACTGAGGTCAAAATTTAAGGGGACGGAGGCAAAAGATGAGACATAAACTACAAATATAATAAAATATTTTATATTATGAGTAAGTGGACACTAACAGGAACTTTTTGTCTTGGAAATAACATGACTGTAGTTAAGTAGCAGTACAGAAAAGGGCTAGAGAGGCATGATTTTTATCGATCAGGTGAGTGAAAGCAGTGAGCTGGCCTAGCCAGGTTTGGTAGATATTACTCAGAAGTACAGGATTGTCCACAAGCAGGCTCAGGTACTGGGGGCAAGGAGAATGACAATAAGGCCTTTCCTGAGACACTAGGTCATCTGATTAATTAAGATTAGGAATGTGAGGGTTATTGCAGACTTGGAGGGGGGGCATGGATATCACATAGTGAATTTAGAGAGTTTCTATTAGTAAACGTTATAGGAATGTGTTTGTAAAATACAGGCATCGGCAAAAGTAGGTTTATAGTTGTGAGTATGCCAAACGAGAGTTTGTTCTTGAATTATTAGTTAGTAATTATTGTATTAACCTCCATATGAACATCTGTAAACCCACTTTTGCCCACTCCTGTATGTAGTAATATTTTCCATGTACATAAAATTAATGTAAGAAAACAAAATATATTTCTTCACTTTTATTTTGTCTAAGACTTCCAACCATGTGGGCTGTATATGTGTTTAGAAACATTTCTGTTGCATTTGTTGAACACAGATTGATTTCTTTCAGATAAAAAAGAATTATTTACTAGGTGCTATTGAAACAGTTTAGCAGTTTTATGAGCTGACTGGTCAAGATGATTGTTTCTGTAAAATGATTAGGCAGAGGAGGTCACTTTCTTTGCTTACTTGCATACAAACTGCATAACCTGATTTTATATGTGGGAGAGATGCTTTTCAGCTCTAGTTTGTTGGCTCAATATCCTATAAATTTCACAAGGATCTGTTAAGAGAAGATATTTAAGTAATTTTATTCTGATATTTTCAAAATATTTATTTAAAATCTAATTAGCTAAATAATAGTTAAAGGCAGGTTAGTGTTCTAAATGCATATGCATATTTAGAATGCAAGTGTCACTCTTTTTCACTTATAAGCTATATTGCCTTTATAATGACCACTAAGCCTCTTTCCTTAAAAGCACCATTATTTCCTATTAAGCTTTTCTATTTCTAATTTTATTAATGCAAAATTTATCAAATATATATATAATTACAACCATATATATAATTATAACATTAAGGGGTGCTATTTAGTTTTAAATGTTGCTGAATCATTACTTTTTCTTTCCCATTTTCATCTGTATAGAATTTACAGAAAATTCCAATATCTCCTAAATCCTCGCCAGGTTTACAGTCTTGCTGGAAACGGACCAATGCAAGGGTAAGTCCAAGGATAACATCATTACCATTGACTCATTTAATACTAATTAATTAAATAAACCCAACATACCTAAAAATAATGATATTTGAATGCAGCAGCTGTATCAGTACACACAAAAAAAAACACAGACTATCACCTACATAAGAGAAACCGATACAAATGTTTTTCAAAATAGCCTCTTTCAAGCAGATTTTCCTCCCTTCTAAATATTGTGAACTTATATTAATACTAACGCTAATAGTAATAATTACACACACAAATACATACGCACACACTTGCTGGGTATTTAAACTTCTAAACTATCTGTTTGCAAAACTACTCTCCTTTACTTATTAAATATAGAATATAAATCTACAGAGTAAAGAAAAGGCTAGTTAACAGAAAATCAAAATCATAATATGATTTTTTTCTCACTAATAAAGTCTAATGAACATCCTCTCTTATTAGATACTTTATTGCTAATAGGTAAGATGTGATAAAATAAAATTATTTTTTCAACAGAAATCATATACTTTTTATGTCACAAGTATGCCCTGAAATAAATTGTTGTTACTTTGGCTTTGTTAACTAATTAATGTCATCTTCTTCCACTGATCTGTTTTCTCTCTTTCCACATGACAGTAAACATTAGACCAGATGAGTGGAGAGAAGCTCTATAACCTTCCACAAGCTTCTTTTTTACAAAAAGTTAGTATGAGTAAAATAAGCCTCTTAGGTTAGTCTCAGAAACTAGAAATCAAATATTGAAATTGTACTGTTTTAAATGCTCAGGATAAAATTTACACCAGTGTGTTTATGTTAAATAAATATAAATGCAATATAATTATTAGCACTGGTTCCTATAATTACATCCATGTCTTTCTTGAACTGCCTGCTACCCGCTGTCCAAGGCCAAACGCAGAGCAGTGATCTGTGGAAATTACTTGCTGTAAAGGGGCAGGCTCACCCCAGGAACTTAGCTCAGAACAATGCCTTTGTCAAGCTCCAGACTCCGGAGTCTGAAGGATCACATCAGATTGTTGGGGAGGTGAGCCTCACACGGGAAGTCCTATCTAAACAGAGCCAAACAGAAGTCAAGTCTTGATATTAACACAGAAGCTCATGCAAAGAAGTAGGTCTTTTATTCTGCAGAATTAAGAAATTGTGCATTCAAAAATTTAGCCATTCCAAGACCTCTGACTCTTCACCCAGACGGAATACATCCATATTTGCCCTGTGTTTCATAGTTGAATGCTCTGCCTACTGACTCCGCGAATGACAGGCCTTATAACTTAACCTCTCTGTGTCTTTATTATCTTTGTTGTAAGAGAAAAATAGTAGCTGCCTTACAGGAGAGTTCTGAAGTTAAGTGGGATGATGCTTATAAAGCATATAAAAATGTGGTTATCACATAATATGTCCTCAATTAATGCTATTTATCATCAGTACTCTTCATAGTGATTAATTAACAAACACTAATAACATGACCACTTTTTAGCTATATGTAAATATATTACAATACCATTGATTTTAGCCTTGTATTCCAGTTTCATTTTTTCCTTACTCTAAATACATACTACATGTTTCCCTTTAGTACTTTAATTTTAGGCATCCTTTAATACATTGAAAAATAAATTAATATATGTACTTGTAAAAATCCATACTGCAATGGATATTATCTAGAAAGTAAATTAGAGGCACTACCACTCCTCAGGGATTACCACTTGGGAACTGTTTGTATGGATACTCCCAGAATTCTTTCTATAAGCAAAGTGTAATGTATGTATGTAATGTATTCACATATAATGTATTCATATGCATTCATATATGCTGTGTAGATATACTTTTTTAAATTACTTGGAGTATTTTTTATATATTCAAAAGCATATGATTAATATTGGTTGAGTTCAGCACATATTGATCACTTTCATTGTTTTTAAGAGCTGCACGACATTCCATAGTTTGGTTAGATGTTCTATTATTGATACACATTTAGAACGCCCGTTCTTTTAAGTTAACACCAACTATGCTAAGTTAACATTTATCAATTTGTGTATGTTTTTTAAAAAGCATATTCAAATATTTTCATTGACTAGGTTGATATAAAGGCAGACTTGCTTGGTTGAGAATATTTTCATTTTTGACTGTATAAGTTTCTGCCAAAGTGCTATACAAAATATGTGTACTAAATTACAATCCCAGCAGCAGTATATAATGCTTACTTTCCACAACCTTCTTTAAATTGGCCATCTTTAGCAATTTCTATTTTTCTCCAGTGTGACAGATACAAATATATTTTTATCATTTCATATGCATGTCTCTGATCAATTATAAATTAGAATATGGTATTAATTAGATTTAATTTTCTACAAACAACAGAAATGACCCTGACTTATTATTCAAAATAGTGTTTACTAGAAAATTATGAAGTTGCTGACAGAATTAATGGAAAAATTAAGACCGTTTTAGAAAAGATAGGGTCAGGATAATTTGAGGAAACAGAGTAGCAGGATTAAAAGGACACACTCTCATGAGAATTATTGTTGAGAGGAATGGATTCCAATTGCTTTTGATATTATTTCTCTGCTCAAGATTCACCCGGCAGTGAAAAGCATATTTATTGGTCTACCTTATTTCCCATGCCAGAGGCTTGGCTAGTTTGGGATAGGGCATCTTGATTGATAGTCTTGTCAAGATTGTATCTAAATGGTTTGTGTCCTCAAGGCCAAATGAGGGTGCTTTAAACTGAGAATGAAATATGAATTCTTCGGGGGAATAAACAATAGATGTTTGCCACAGTTCCAACCATTGGGCTGCCAATAGTCCTTCTTTTCTGAAAATATAAATTGAAAAAATTATATCTGTGAACATATTGCTACTATTAAATGTATAACTGAAAACACACTCTTACGGTCCTACAATGTAGACAACCCAAACTTCCTTATAGTCACTGTATCCAGCTTCAAGGCCTGGTTCTTTGGGCAGGTCTCTTGACATGACTATTTTTTCTCCTCTCTTCATCTATTTGGCCTAAAATATAGAAATATAAAGATAAAATTTTAAAAACCTACAAATATGAATTTAATTAAATTATTTTTTCACTCTTTCATCACTGGTTTGATGTACTTGGTATCCAATGAATTGATAGATATGTTAGAATATTGCTGTCCTTTCATTTGGTTCATTGATCTATTTGTTTTATATACTGTAACTCCATACTTATTCTTTCAAAATTTAGTGACATTTACTTTCCCCAGTGTGTTAATGTCTCATGTCTTTACAATATGAGTTGAATGGAATTACATTGAATTTCTAGTTTCCTCTTGATCACTGTGAGAATGTCCTGTTTCTGGACTTGCACTTCTACTAGAAAGCTGTGTCTCTGTTGTTCTCCTGGGGGGACCTGCCACCGGGGGCTCCTCTGAATGGGGACTCTGGCCAGTCTACGCTGTAAGCCTTCACTTAGTCCCACTTGCTAGAACTCCTCCCATTCCTTTTTCTACCTGTGCAATTCCTGATCCTGGGTCTGCCAGAGCATTCCTTTTGCAGCGGTTCCCTTTAATGTATTGCTTTGAAAATTTCACTATTCTCTAAAGTCACTTTAATAATCTAATATCTATTGTGATTTAATTAAATCACCATTTCATGTTTATTGCTTTTCTAATGCTATAATAGATAGACTTTAAAAAATATACATATTTTATTTGCCACCCTGAGACTGCAGTTATTTATTCAATTTCCCCTTTCCTCATTTATTCTCTTTACCACACTAAATTTTAAAATCTTTTTGTATGCATCTCTTTACTTATCTTTTTCCCCCTGTTTCTAACACTTTATTTATAGAATAGACATTTTCACGACATATTGAAACTATCCTAATTCCTGGTGTGAATTATCTGTTAACTACCAAAACTATATGGACATTTCCCTCTTTATCTTTAATCATATTCAAGACAGAAATGTGTGCTTATTTGGTTGTTTCCATTATATTTCTTTATCTCAGTGCTCTCACTTTGATTCTGACTATGCTATTTAAAGATGTCTGAAACTAAAGTCTGTGTCATAAACGTTGTATCTTCCTCATGATTTATATTATGATATAATTGAATCAATTAAATACAGGCATAAATAAGTTGGAAAATATAAAATAATACTGCACTTTGATCTTAATGAGGTTTTTTTTGCATTAAAATAAATAGGCACATCTCTAGCTTTTATACCAACTGCGTGTGTGAATGTGTCTTATGAAAAGTTAATGTCAAGTTTTTTGTTTACTTGTGACATTGCTTGTTTCCTTCTTTCTCTAAACTTCATGGAAGTACAGATGGCTTATTCTAATATTATCTTTAAAATATTTAAGTAAATATAACACATATCTATTGAATTGAAATAAAATATAAAATATATCTTTTAAAATTATGCAAATTATTGCCCAGATTGTTCAGCATAATGAGGTATAGTGAATTATTTGTGAGATCAGTGCTTTATAAAAATCTTTGGTTTTCTCTATCAGAACTAAATGTAAAACGTATATAATTTTTAAAATAAAATTTAACAACCTACAGACTCACATACTCCAAGTGAACATAGTATTTCCATAGTGAAGCTTTGAAATATTTTCTCCTATTTAAAAAAACATGTAAGTTAGAAAAGATATAACAGATTCCACAGATTTCATTACTTTCTTAATTTAAAAGATCATTTTGTATAAAAAATTTTCTGCAGTGTTTTATTTATTTATTTTATTTTTGAAAATATATCTTTATTGATTTCAGAGAAGAGGAAAGGAGAGGGAGAGAGAGATAGAAACATCAATGATGAGAGAGTCACTGATCAGCTGCCTCCTGCATGCCCCCTACTGGGGGATCAAGCCCGCAACCCAGGCATGTGCCCTGACCGGGAATTGAACCCCAATCTCCTGGATCCTAGATCGATGCTCAACCACTGAGCCACGCCCAGCCGGGCTGCAGTGTTTTATTTAAATAAAATCCCTCTTGAATCAGAATTTATGGCCTATTTCT